AGTTTATGGTTCATGGCAAGTCTAGTTTCTTAATTCCCCGTTTTATAAATGTCAAAATTTACTTTTAAATGTAGAAGAAAATAGCTAAAACATATCATGGCAACTTCAGTGTAAACATCATGACAATTCATATGCAATAAACATGGCAACTTTTAATCCAAAAAAAAATCATCAAAACATATCAACATGAGATCTAGTTTCGAAGATCTCATCACGAGGGATTTAATGGTGAAAACGGATTTTCAATCGGATTTTTCGTTTAAGAGATAAAACATTTTAAAAACTGAAAATCCAAAAAGATTCCTGCATGCATGCATGCGATGAAGTGGCAATCTGTTTACATTAAAGACGTGTGGTGCGTCTCCCTTCCTGCCACACGTGTGGCAGTTAGCTTGACCCTTATAATAACAAGATGATACCAATATTTTTCTACCTTCCTTCTAATATGAAATGTGTAGTGCTCCTACGAGCGATTCAAAAAAAATGATTTCGTGTGCAGCCCCCAACTAATTGGTCCGTTAGCCTCGACCAGAGTAATTAAAAGGAGTCAAAATGTGAATCATTAGTAATTGTCTTGGTACTTTTTTTTCTGGTGAGGGAGTACATATCAATAATGCATTACACTAAATAGTATGGGCTTAAACTCGAGAACCTTGCATGACATAAAACTTAGCCAAAAGTTTGAGCTTATAGGAAAATGATGTGAATAAATTTCAACAGGTTTGTCGCTTGTTCGCCATAGGCTCCTCGCGGTGGGAAGTAGATACTATCTCCACAGTGTATAGTATTATAGCTTGATATTATAGATAATCTTATTTATTGTCATGCATGATACGCATTAGCACATCATTTAATGTGATACAATATTATACTCCCTCCGTTCCTAGATGTAGGGTGTATAATTTTTTGCACGGATATTAAAGAACACATATGGAGGGATAATTTCACAAGTTTTGGGCGAGATTACACCTAATTAGTTGACATGAGAAAATAGAGGAGATTGCCTAATATAAGGAAATGTAATCAAATCCCTAAAAAAATTATCCAAACGAGCGATGCAACGCAATACACCTTATATTTCGGATTTTTTCTCAAAAATCTATACACCTTATATCAAGGAACGGATGGAGTACTATAAGACTCAATAATCTATTTCTTCATTTAGTTGTATGCTATCTCATCTAAATTGCTTAGTTGACATGTATGATATTTCATATGATACTCCTACTGCGAGCAGCCTTACACCTTATATTTTATTTTTAAACAAGGCCCTCTCACCAGGCGGCTTTCTTCAGTAAATGCAGTGGTGGCTTTCTTCAGTAAATGCAGTGACGGCTATGTCCATTAATTACCATAGGTTTAATAATTCCCGAGAATAGCTTGGTCTGACAATCAAATTATCAGTTTTCATGGCTAACATGGTGTATGAAGATTCCTTTTGTACTTCACAACTTTAATTAATCTACTAAGAATGACGATGGTTGTGCCCATTTATTTGTATATTTGTATATTGGTGCATGAAGACTTTCCAGCTATTATCGACAAGATCAGGCGGGCTTCGGTAGGGCAGCGGCAACAACGGCACATCGGCAGCTCGTTCTAGCGGCAATGGTGATCGTTCGATGCTCTCGGAATCTTGATGTAATTTTTATTATGTTTGAGATGCTTTGTACTTCCGGTGAACTCTTATAATAGATCTGATCATTTTCACACACAACTTTTTTAGTGCATTACACTAAACTGTATGGGTTTAAACCCCAGAACCTTGCACCGATAAAAACTTACCCAAAAGTTCAAGCTTATGGGAAAATGATGTGAATAAATATCAACAGGTTTGCTGCTTGTTCGCCATAGGTAGTACTATTACACTTTTCTTTAAATAAGGCCCTCTCACTAGGCGGCTTTCTTCAATAAATGCAGTGGCGGCTATGTCCATTAATTACCGTACTTTTATGGCTTCCAAAAAATACCCTGGTCTGACAATCAAATATCCATGTTCATAGCCAACAATGGAGTATTTTACAACTTTAATTAATCTACTGAGAACAGCGACGGCTACGCCCATTTGTATGGTTTGATCAGAGCTTTAATTGCATGCATGTGCCATGGGTCCTATAATAAATTCTGACTTCCTTCCATATGTTACTCACCCATTGGCGGTTGATATGTCGAAGGTCGAACAGATCTAAAAGTGTACTTGTAGAAGTCAAAGCGGAGTTTCTGAACTTTCTGCCTGGTGTTTGCCCTACTGAGAACCACTCGCTACTTTTTTTTTAGGAAAACCAGTCGCTAAGTTTGCTCTCTCAGATCTACCAACGCGTAGACGCACCATTTCTCTTCGTCAACATACGAACGGACGATACCACAACGGTTCCACACAAGTTCTACAAATCACAATAGTCTACCGTCTCACCAAGTTACATTAATGTGTTTTTCCTCCAAAAAAGTTTACATCAATGTTTTTTATCAAGCTTCGCATAAACTTCACAAAGTTCCACATTAATTACTCAAAGGATCTCAAGTACACATATAAGTCTTGAAACAGGCTTTCACCCAGGCCTAATCCATACAAAGTGATGAGAAAATATCCATGCAAGGAGCTCAAAAGAGAAAAACGACATCCGAGATATAAGCGGGAACGCGGGAGCATAAAAGCTGGAGGCGCCGCAACTAACAAAAGGCGACCTAGAATACTAGAGAGGGACAAAACAGTGCCGCTTTGGAAAACCATCAAACCCTGTTGCACCGAACACACCAGGCTATCGCCGGAGAGGGACGCTTGCCTTCTCGCTCCAGTTGTGGGGCACTAACCTTCCAGCGCATATCGAGGACCGAGAATGGTGACAACAAGGACACAGATATAGTAGGAGACCAACGAATCCACAACACGCCAATCAAAGAAGCTTCACGCAAGGGTCAAAGCAAATCTGAAGTCGGCACACTGCAGCCAGTAGGTACCCGAGCTCCCCAGTGACACGCCCAAGGGGGTAACGATGCAGCGTGCACCTACAGTCGAGCCTGAAACCCTCTCACGAAGAGGGGACACACAACCATGCCTCTAGAGGGAAGAGACAACCACAGGCATCACCATCGCCAGCGTGGAGCTTTTGCTCGTAGTCTCATTCGCACCACCTGAGCTACCAAACTGAGCCAACCCGAGGGAAGGATTGCCGTGCTAGCACGGGTCCCCTAGATCTTGACCATGGAGCTGTCATTGTCGAAGCCACAATGACACCAGGATCTCCCAGCACCCCTCACCTCGTTACCCTCCTAGCCACAGAGAATATTGTCGTGTTGCTCGCCACAGAGCCAACCGCACAACCACAGTAACCGCGGTCGTCAGCCCGGCATACAAGATCTGGCAACCCTGCACCACCGCTCGTGCCACCACCCGCTGCTCGCTGCCATGGCCATCGACCGCCAGGAAGGGACGGAAAGGCGCCTCCTTTCACACCAAAGGGGACTCCCCACCCGGATCTGGGCAGTAGAGGAGTCCAGCAGCGGTATGCCACTGCCCAGGATTGAGCAACTACAACCCATCTGACCGAGCCCACCCAATCCCGAGTCAAGCGACCCCCATCAAGCCCCGTCTGGGCGAGACACGCTCCAAGCAACGACTGCACGCTGATGAGAGGCCACCGACCAACCTGCCCATGGCCACGGTGACAAACGAGAACGTGGACAGGGAGATCATGAGACATGGGAGAAAGGTCCCGCCACCTGCCCCACACACTGCGTCTCTTAAGCATCGCCGACCGACGGCGGCGAGGGCGTGGTGGGGAGGAAGGTTGTGGCGCGGTGGTGATGAGGGCGACACACATATCGAGCGACGCGGGGGCCTTCTCTGTCAAGTCTCGACAAAATACTAGTGTTTAACGAGTGCCACGTCTCGACAAATACTAGTGTTCATCTGGTGCCAAAAGTCTCATATAAGAGTTACACAAAATTATAAATAGGATCCAATTGTTTTCTAAGAAAATATACTTATCATAATATAATATAATATAATATAATATAATATAATATAATACGTATAATATCGCATGTATCCACAACATTTTCACAAAGGTTGCATAAAACTGTCACCAAGTTCCAATGAATCAAAAATTTTGATATTGCTATTGTTTTGAAGATCTTGTCACCTGGAACACAAATGTTAGACAGATCGTAGATTCAAATGATTCCAAGAAATATAAATGAACAAGGAGAGAGAAGAATCTAGACCACGTACTCCTCCCGACGCATGTGTGAGGCTGTGAGCCTGTTGTAGCAGGCCCAGAAACTAATCCATTATACTCTTTTCTCTCTTTGCTCCGGATCCGATTTGATTTATAAACGTTGAACCCTGAGAATTGATACGTACAAGACTCTATTTTACTACTTCCTCCGCATTGAGATCGGAAAGAACACCAACGGCGAAAGCACTCTACTGGGCCGACACTGACACTGAGAGACGAAAGCTAGGGGAGCAAATGGGATTAGAGACCCCAGTAGTCCTAGCCGTAAACGATGGATACTAGGTGCTGTGCGACTCGACCCGTGCAGTGCTGTAGCTAACGCGTTAAGTATCCCGCCTGGGGAGTACGTTCGCAAGAATGAAACTCAAAGGAATTGACGGGGGCCCGCACAAGCGGTGGAGCATGTGGTTTAATTCGATGCAAAGCGAAAAATGTTACGAGATTTAGATTAATTGAATTCAGTATAAGTTCAAGACATATTAGAGCTCTAACCATGTTTCGGCTTGTGATCAATCCATAGATACCAATCGAAAATAAATAGACACTCAAAAAAAGTCCCATGATATAAGACGTTTTTTGACACTACACTAATGTAAAAAAACGTCTTACATTATGTAATATTTTTGTCCTTTTTGCCAACAAAAGCTCAAGAGTACAAGTCGGCCTGAGTATCTCTATATATACCAGCACGGCAGCACCTCCACATAGTACTTCCAAGTACACCTCTCATTTTGTTCTCCGAATCACTATCCAAACAACTCGATGGCAGCAGCTCACGCGGACTGTTCCGGCCAGAAGGAGACGATGGCAACTTTTCACCCGACTTTGTGGGGAGATTACTTCCTTACACACCAGCCACAATCTTCAGGGCAGGTATTACTGTACATACTCGTAGTACTACATACCTGAGATAATGCATGTTTGCATGCACACGTCGGGTGAAAGGAAGTAATTTAAAGTAGTAGATGCTGCAATTATTTGGAGATAACTATAGGGTCGTGGAAAGATTTTTTGCATGACATCGGCTTATTTAGGTGAATATACAAATGACTTCAATTTGCCGAATCAATGCAATACCAGACATGCATGCATGCATGTGTCGGCCCAATTTTAAAGAAAAAATATCATATTTATTAAGTAAACTCATGATTTAGCTCTTCTCGTGAAAACATGACAATCACACTATGCCACGTTGTACACACAATGACACAAAATACAATATTTGTACTCCCCCGTCCGTATTTATTAGGCACATTCACATTTTGAGCCCAAGTTTGACCATACATTTGCGTAATATAATATGAATTATATGTAGAAAAATGGTGCCATTGAAAACTTCCTTTGAATACGAATACAACAATATAATTTTGTTCAAAATATTACTTATATTTTGCAAATCGAATCTAGAGTCAAAATTTGGCCCAAAATACAAGGGGGCCTAATAAACCCGGACGAAGGAAGTACAATGCAACATTAAGTTGTTTTTCTAAATGACAGTCTACACTATCGTAAGGATTTGTTATCACAAACAGCTTCCAACAAACAAATGCTGGAAAACACCCATGATTTGTTTCGATGCTATGCAACGTTTTTGTGTGATGGGTATGTGTTTTAATTAGTTGTAACATCTTTTTATGTCTGAAAGAATTATTATTTTTGGCGGAAACTTTTACAACAATAGTCACCATATTAGGTATAAATTAGATTCTACCATTATTTGTATTAATTAAGAATGTTTTTCTTGTAGAATTTTTCATAGTTACTTGAGAGCAACTATTATTTGTAAATCAGCCAAGTAGCCTATCATAAAACCAAGAGTTGCACACGAATTTGAAGTTTATTTGTAATACCATGCAACTGCCTCATTGCATATTTCTAGAACTAAAGTTGCTATAATATCTTGAATGTGTAGCTATCCAATTTCATTACATAGATATTAAATGGTTAGGACATTGACTTAAAAATAAGAATCAACTAACTTAGAAATAAATGTTCTAGTTTGTTAAGATATTTTAATGGTGTGTCATTTTTATTGCAGTTCTTGAAATTGTAGCATTATGGTGAACACTATGATGCAAAGCATTAGTGGTCTACATGATTGATTAGTAATACCATTTACATTATTGCAGCAACCTCAGATGAGAGAAAGAATGGAAGTTTTATTGGAGCAAGTAAGAGCAATAATAAAAGAGTCAAATGGAATACAAAAAGTAATGGAGCTTATACTCTCGCTTGAACGACTTGGCTTGGACTACCACTATGAGAATGAGATCGGGGAACTACTGGATGTCGTTTTGAACTCTGATTATGATGATAATAATCTACAGTTGGTTTCACTTCGATTTTATCTTTTGCGGAAAAATAGATATGATGTCTCATCTGGTAAGGCCCCATAAACTTACACAACCAAGATATATAGCAATCAAACATTGATTTCTTGGAAATTATTAATGTCCATTTTCAATAAACATTGCAGATGTATTCAATAAATTTCAAGACAAACAAGGAGATTTCTTTCAATCAGATACAAATAGTTTATTGAGCTTATATAGTGCAGCGCATATGAGGACCAAGGGAGAGAAAGTACTTGACAAGGCAATCTATTTCACTAAAAAACACCTCCTTGGCGCGTTAGAACATTTGGAATCACCATGTGTAGAGGAAGTGTATTTTGCTCTTCTTACACCTCCTTTTAGAAGGGTTAGGATATTAGAAGCAAGAAGCTACATACCTTGTTATGAAAAAGAGCCTACACGAAATGAAGCCATATTGGAGCTTGCAAAATTGAATTTTAATATTCTGCAACTTCTTTTCTGTGAGGAGTTAAAGGAGGTCACCTTGTAAGTTTTCTTTTTATAATTCTCTTCTTGAAATTAGTCTACAATGCGTTCTTTTTCTTATTATCATAAGAATGCCAATTGACTTATGTTATGCTCATTCTAGGTGGTGGCAGAAACTCAAGGTCGGATCAAATTTGAGTTTCGTAAGAGACAGAATAGTAGAAACTTATTTTTGGATAAATGGAACTAGCTACAATCACAAATATTCTTATTCCCGTATTATAGCTACAAAGATCACTGCTTTCATGACTATAATAGATGACATATTGGACACCTATGGTAGCACTGAAGAGAGCATGCAACTTGCAGAAGCAATTAATAGGTTAAATCCTCCTTCCCTTCACCAATTACTCCCTCCATTTTTATTTACTCCGCATATTAGAGTTGACTGAAGTCAAACTTTGTAAAGTTTGATCAAATTTTTAGAAAAAAATTATAAATATTTACCATAACAAATCCATATGGTGTGAAAGTACATTCAATAATAAATCTAATTGTCCTCGTATGTTAATACTTTTGTTTATAAACTTGGTCAAAGTTGGCAAAGCTTGACTTTGACCAAAGCTAATATGCGGACTAAATAAAAACGGAGGGAGTAGTTTTTTCTAATAATTATAATACATGTGTTTTGTAATAGTTTTAATATATGAACTAAATATACATTAGAATAAGCATGAAAATAAATAGTAATATCGAGTCATACAAACACAAAAGAAATAGTGAAGTGTTGCATTATAACTAGAATGTATTACGTCGGGTATGTCCTCATGACGTCCATGATTCTATTGGGATGGCATATTAGCTATGCTACTATATTGTTGTGCCTTGTGTCTTAATACAATTTTTCTTTAGAAAAAGTGAAATACTTATATTAAGTTGTCTACGTAATAAACATTATACCCCACACACTAGTTACACTATAACTCCATAAATAACTAAATATTTTAAAACTATAAGTAATTCCATATTGGCAAAAAAATTAAAAAAATATAGTACCATTGAATTATGGTAATTCTAGTACAAGAAACAGTTTATTAATACACATGCAAACATTAGAGTGAAAATTGGGACATCGTCGTGGAGCGATGTTTATATAAGATACGAAGGAAAGTACCATTGTTAATTATTCATTTAACTGTATTAGTTTTTTTGTAGAAACACAAATTCATTTCATTCTTGAAGTTTTTTTTAAATGCATCACAAGTATTACTTTATTAAGTAGTGGTATGGTCTAACCTAGTGAAATGCAGGTGGGATGAAGGTGCAGTAGATGTGCTTCCAGAATACATGAAGGATGTCTACTTATATTTGTTGGAAACATTTCGTTCTTTTGAGGAGCATTTAGGACCTGGGAAGAGCTACCGTGTTGTTTATCTTAAAGAATCGGCAAGTATTATATTTACCTCATAAAACTAGTTTGTCATATTGAAATGTGCACTTAGTTTATTTTAATATGTATTCTCTTAGTAATATTTGGTCGTTGTGTGCCGCCAAGATGAAATACCATGATCTAGCTAAGACTAAAAATGTTATATTTTATTAATGTTGTTAAGCTGATATAAAGTAAAAATGGTAACATACTTTAAGTAAATAAATTAAAATTAGATTGATCTGTTTGCAAGTCTACAAGAGAAAATACTTAACTTTCGCTTCAAATAGTGGAACTAGAACACGTATAGGACTATGCCGACCCGATGAGCCTTTTGTAATGCTTTGTGTTTCTTGGCGTTGGAGCCTGTTATAAATAGTCATCAGAATGAAATTGTCATTATTGCAACAATACTATTACCTAATTATGTGGCCTTGGGTGATGTTGCCTGAGATCCAAATTGCAATTGCTACTCAAGCACTCATACATACATACACACATATCAAACTTAAGTGGATACCATATAGATGGTAGCATACAGGTTGCGGTTCCAGCCCTATGCATTGGGGACATAACCCAAATGCTTCTACCAAATTAATGAGATGGTGTACTAAGATCCAAACCAAGTCCTGGTTGAACTAATCGAATGACCAATCAATCTAGATGGAAGTTTTAGACAATTCAAACTTTGAAATAAATACTGTAGAAAAAAATACTCCCTTCATTCCCTTATACAAGGCCACTTTGTTTTTATTGTCAAACTTTGACTCATAATTTTGGTCAACAAAATATGGATTATATGTCATAAAAAACATATCATCAGAAAGTTCTTTAAAATGTGCATTCCATGACATATTTTTTATGGCATATAACTCATGTTTTGTTGGTAAAATTAATGGTCAAAGTTAGATATAGAAATATGAAGTGACCTTATATAAGGGAATGCAAGGAGTACTAGGATAGTGGTTTCCACTGAACTCTTTGACTCGTAAAATTTCAAGCTTCTGTTCCATATATTAGTGGTTAATAACTGACACTCCAGAAGTTAATCTTGTGAGGCTACGGGTGATAATGGTTAAGCATTACAACAATGCGAAGCTTTGTCACTTGCTATAAGATGTGTCACTCTTGATCCAATTTTTTCCTATAATCAATATAATACTTAAATCATTATAAACCTTTGTAGTATATAATTTTATCATCAACAAGTGTGGTCTCTTCATCTCTTATTCATTTGGGTGACTGCCAATAACATTCATTCTCTAGTTGTTAGAGTTTAAACACAATTATACATTTGAATCACATATTTATTAGTCCACCACACATTGCCATCAGTAATCAATATCCATTTAGGGAGTTGGATATACTTTCAATGAAACAATTTTGATGTAGTTCATGTGATAAACCTAGCTAGTTCGCATGTATGTAATTTTAACTTATTTTAAAATGGAAATGGGACAAGGCCTTCAATTTAGAAAAGTCGTATTTTATCAGATACATTTTCTGAACAAGATATGAATTATCAAAATAAAACACACCTTCAAACATTTCATGAGAGTACAAAACTAATTCACCAATTGACTTTTTGACACGGTAATTGTCTTTTATTTTCCCATATGTTGATAGAAAATTTGATAGTATCAACGAATTGAGCATGGCTCAGAAGTGTAGATTCCTTGTGGTGAACCTATCAACTGGGGTTCGAGTCCTATACTTTGAAAGGGTGCTTCCATTTTATTGGATTTATTCCAAGATTTTTGTTCATTGGGAGTTGATGTTCCCATCGGCTGCAAGTTGTGTGTGGTAACTTCATTGTTCTCAAGATTTGTTGGCTTAATCTCACAGAGGAGCTCATAGGGCTAGGGTGTGCACGCTTGTGTACATTGTGTGTGTGGGTGGGCAGGCTCTACGTGTGCGTATCTGAGCTGTGTTTGTACTAGGTTTCCAACAAATTATAGTATTACTTTCAATAGTTCACTAAAAAGGTATTGTTTTTCATGAAAGAGTTAGTGTTAATGTGTTGATATTTTTCATGAAAACCATATTCCCTAGTAAAGTTTTCTTATATCCACTCCCCGCAAATGTAATTGTTGAAGTTTTAGATGACAAGATAACTTTATATCTACCAAACATGTAGATGGACAATGGATAATTTCAATTTCCATATCTTTGATTCAAAAAAAAATCATTTTATAATTCTTAGCAATATTACAAACATTTTGGGTGATTAATTTTGAAACAATGCAGTTCAAGAAATTAGTTCAAGCATACAGCGCTGAACTAAAATGGCGTGATGAAAAATATGTGCCGAAGAAAATTAGCGAACATCTTGAAGTTTCAACAATAAGTATCGGGACATCTGTGGTAGCATGTGCTTTTTTCGTTGGCATGGATAACATAAATGCAGACACTTTCAATTGGCTTTCTAGCAAGACGAAACTTCTCAAGTCTTTTGCTATATTTGTACGGCTCACAAACGACATGGCATCAACACAGGTACACATTCTTAGAGATGTACTTGACTTCAAATGAATATTTTGCATGCATATTGGCAAAGTGTTGCAAGAATCTAGACATAATTATTGTCTGTGTTTAAAGAAGTAGCTATTCACAATGAATATTCAATCATATTTACTGTGATAATTTAAGGCACATATGTATCTTTTTGCATTCTTACATTGTGATAACCACATGTTGTTATGGCATAGCTAGAATATTTAAACTTTAACGGACCATCTAAAAAATGGAAGCTATAACCATTTCCAATCTTGATTAGCTCATGGTAGCTTAAAGTGAAACTGGACTAAGCATGCCCAACCTAGGCATGAGATGAAGAATACGATGGCATAGGTCATAGAGAGTGGGGGCCATGAAACATGTGTGTCATGTGTAATATATATGACGGCTGCTATGTAGGTATGGTGACTAGTTTCCTTTTCTTATGTATCTTGATATATGGTATCAACTAAATTCACTAAAGAAAGGTGAAACATAGCCCTATCCATTATCAGATCTCAAGTGAGGAGGGGCAAAGTGGAACACAAATGTCTTCTTTTTAATTTCTTGTAGAGGCCTTCTGAACATCCATGTGATTAAACTAGTTATTGTTCTAAGACATAATTGACACTTTCTACCATTATATTTTGCAGCGTGAGCAACAAGGGGTCCACTGTGCATCTACTATCCAATCTTACATGAAGGAGCATGAGATGACAAAAGATGACGCATGTGAAAAGATAAAGGAACTTATTGAGAATTCATGGGAAGATATGTTAAAACATTATTTGGAATTGATAGAACAACCAATGGTTGTGCCACAAATTATACTTGAGCTTTCAAGAACTGTGGATAACATGTACAAGCATACCGATGCATACACTAATTCAAAGACAATCAAAGATACTATAAGAATGCTTTTTATTGACCCAATGGAATAGTTGTACGAGGCATGCATCAACAGGGGATACAAAAGTAGCAGCTATACACTGCTTTTGCAACAATAATGCCTAGTCATGTTAGAATGGTGATCAAGAGCAATCTACTTAGATTGCCACCATGTTAATGTATCTTTTTTTCAGTTAAACAAACATGTCGTGCTCGCTTCTGGGAATGTATGAGTGATACTAAACTTTGTTTTATGCATTGGCTTTTTGAAACATAAATGCTTTCTTTCATTCATTTTCTCTGTGTGTGGTCCTACCCTAGTCCATTGTGCAAGCATAGAGATTCTCTCTTCATCCTAGTATAAAACAAAATACTCGTCAAAACTTATCCAATCAAGGCATAAGTTACGCTTCAAAGCCAAAAAAGGTTGCTTGGTGTCGTAATTGTATTCATTATTTCATATTGCATTTTTGTAAGGAGCATGTTGTATGGTTAACGCCAACATTGTGATAATACAAGTCCCTGCATCTTGCTCCTCCCGTCTAATCCTCATTGGCTCCAGATAGATTTTCAATATCATAATATGCATCACAATCATCATCCCAATCATGATTTTTGTCATAAGTAATAGGAATGTCATACTCAGTAGTAGTATTGGCAATAGACATTGTTTCATCATTAATAGCAACTAGTCATCAACCCGTGCAACTACACATGGCTAGCAATTAATGAGACACACATAATCAATAAGAGCTTCATATTCTTATATTTTAATATGTTTTACACGGTTGGAAAAACTTGATATGAAGAATATTATTGACTCAAACAATGCATCAAGGTGATACACCCGTACATAATTCAGAATATAACTTCATTCCTCTTTTGTTTATTGTAAAAGTAAAATATAAATCCTACAATTAGTTTTAAGTAATTTTTTAGGATCAACAAGGAGGCTCAAAAGGAGCCCCAATTATTAAATATAAGAAGGTATAAAGATTCCAACATCAGAAGGATCCCACATGTTTGTGGCAAAACTAAATCGCTATCAGTTTCTTAACCATTGTTGTACTAGTACCTCACGGGGCTACGCACACCCCCAATCACACACAGTTTCTAGAACTATTTACTCGAGTGGGTTGGCGATTAGGGGGGGGAGGGTCATTGCTGACCAACTTGAAATCGTGTGCGACGGGCCATGCAAAAACACACGTACGTTCTAGCACAATCATCTATGATAATTTCTGTAGCACTCATGATGACTTTCTGGAAACGTGTGTGATTGTCATAATATCTCGTGCAGCTTGGCAGAAAATCGTCTGTGCTAATTTTCTTTGGCACACACGAGTTCTATCTTCTATAATGTGTGCGATTGTTACATTTTCTCCGGCGTGTCTTTGGAAGAAAATCGTGTGTGATAATCATATCATCGCAGACATTTTCTTATCTTTAATTGTTGTATTTTTCAGATTCGTTGCACATGGTTTGTTTTCTTGAATCGTGTCTATGCTCAATGACGAGCACAACCTTTTTGGCCGCAATTTAATATCTAGTACATGATTTTTTTTATAAAATCAGTCAGAATATGAATTTGGACATAGGCACACAACACAACACATATCAATCAACATAATATTACATTGTATGTATATATAGAATGATCATTGATCACTTTCGTGTACCAATACAAGTAGCAAAGTAGGAACATTTGACACCTAAAAGCCATCACCTCTATAGAGGGCACAACATTGTAGATGAAGGACAATTGAGTAGTTGATGTTCTTGCATAAGACGAATGTCCATATTGTCTCCAAATAAGCTTTCACACCACTTTATAAATAAAGCAACCACCATGTCTACACAAGTTCAAGTGCAACATAGCAATAAAATAGTCTACTGGTTTAAATACTCAGCCGCTTCAACCAGACATACAATTTTCACAGCAGTTGGAACTGGTCTACCAAATCATTGTCTTCACCAAGCCAACCAGTTCTATTTTCTCAACTCTTTCATTTCCTCATTCATGTGTTGATGAACCTGATCATTACTATTTGAAGACTTTGACTGAAGACTTCCTTTATTTCCTCAATCCTATTTCTTCAGTCACATAGTCTTTGGCCTGCTTATCCTGTTTCACGCTTTTTGTACTCTGTGCTTGTTTCATTTCATCATGATGACTATGTTTTTGCTTTGTTTTGCTTATACCTAAGTACTTATTCCGCTGCTGGTGTGTCGTTGCTTAGGAATTTCTTCACCTAGAAATTTCTCAGTGACGAATTTGTAAAAATCGCCTATTCACTCCCCCTCTAGTCGATATAATGCACTTTCATATATTGACTTAGGAGTCAAATGAGAATATTTGATCATAGGTCATACTCATCATTTAAGAACAAGTTGGCTTACCACTTTTACATAAAGCATTGTTGTGTTCACACCAATAGAATTGCTTTAGCTCAATTCTTAGAGCAAAGCTCCCCCTAGATGTGATATCCCCCCTTAGAGGGATGAACTAACCTTGGGTTTTGTCGATGATGAGTTCATGTAGGTGTTGAAGGTGTGGATGCTCAATGTTGATGTAGATCATTTGGAGCAATCCATTGGAGTGAGTTGCACTTTCAATACCTACACGGGTTAGTCCCACAAGGAACATACAAGAATATCCGTAGACATAGAGTGAAGCACACATATGATGATGTCCATGAAAGCATTAGGTTACCTTATCCCTTGTCTTACCAACAAGAGGTTTTGTGACTCCTTGAACTAGTGCAAGATATGGAAATTGATTGCACTTGTCCTTGCCAAAATGAATGTGAGTGAAGTATGTTGGCGGAGTCACCCTCAAGAAATCTCTAGTTCTTATTCTTTGGGATCCACATCAACTTGATGGGAATCCTTGGAGTTGTAGTAGTACTTGATGAAGTAAAACTTGATGTAGTCTTGGGGACCCACTTGACCATGAACTTAGGAGCTTCTTCAAATGAATCAATCGCTTCTTGAAGCTTGTCCTTGCCTTTTAGCTTGTAGTCTTGTGGTGGAAGATCATATTGAGCTTATGTTCCTTTGAAATAAGTGGGGTCATACTCTCTTGTTGAGGAATAAACTTCGTCTTGGGGTATTGATCTTCTTCCCACTCAACTCCATTGGCATTGAACTTTCGTTCAAAACCAACACCTTGATTCTTCCGGTGCCTTCCTTGCTTGTGTACAATTTCCTCAAATTTCCTACTTCCGACAAGGCTCTTGTAAACACCTTTCTCTATAATTCCCTTCAATAAGCTATTTTCTTGCTCAAGTGTAACTTGTCTAAGAGAATCATTAGTGGAATCAAGAGAACTACTAGAAGCAACAATATTGGGTTTAACATTGTTTTAGCATTGTTATTGTTACTACTAGAAGAAGAATCTTTCTTGTTCTTGTTGCTAGATTTTACTTGTGGCATATAAGTAGACAAGAGTAAACGCTTGGAAATGTAAGAAGCACTCTTCTTTCAAAGATCATCATTGATAGCTTTTAAGAACATATGCTCTTGCTCTAAATTTAGCTTCTTGAAGCGTAGCTTCTCATGAGTCTTTAGGAGCTCTCTATGATCCTCTAGATTTGTTTCACGAGCTAACTTAAGAGTGTTTAGTTCTTTAGTTAGATGCTCAATCTCCTTCTTATCATTGTAATTCGTTTCATCTTGATTAGAATGATTAATAGCAATTTCATCATAGTTTTCATCACTAGTGTTGCCAACAAGTAAATCATCATCACCTAGCAAATCATCTTCATCACTATTTAAATCAACATACTCAGGGTGTGATACCTTAGGGCCTTTAGCCATGAAGCATCTTCCAATTATTTCGTTTAGTGAGTCAAATATGTCGTAGGAGTTGGATGACACAAGTGCAAAACTGGCAACACCTTCATCTTGAGTATATTCGGAGTTGGAGTGATAACTTCTCTCGGAGTAGTTGTCAGAGTCGGAACCGGATACCCATTCACCAATGTGAGCTTGATGTCTTTGTCTTGTGTATCTCTTTGATGACTTGTCCTTCCTTTCCGAACCCTTGCTTCAACGAGAGGGTCTTCGTTCATAACGATCATCTCTACTCCTTCTCTCTCTTGGTGGTGATTCATCTCTTTTACTTCTCCTTTTTGGTGAATCTTCTCTTTTCTTTTAGGGAGCCGTACACTCATTGTAGTAGTGTCCGGGTCTTCCACAATTGTAGCAATTACAATCATGACTAGAAGATCTTTTGTCATTGTAGGACCTTGACTTGGAACTTCTCTCTTTGCTTCTATTCTTGTAGAATTTGTTGAAGGTCTTCACCATTAAGCTCAATTCTTCATTGAAGACTTGTTTCTCACTTGATGTTGTAGGAGCATCACATGAAGCTTTATAAGCACCGCTTGACTTGTTGTGGAGCTGTTTCTTATCCTTGAGTGACATCTCATGAGCAACGATTCTACCATTGACTTCCGTTGGCTTGAGATCTTTGTAGTTGGGCATCATTTGGATCAAGGTGCACACGGTATCATATTTTCCATCCAAGGCTCTTAGGATCTTCTTGATTATGGATTTGTCGGTCATCTCTTCGCTTCCTAGGCAGGCAATCTCATTTGTGATGAGAGCAAGCCTAGAGTACATTTCGGCGACTCCTTCACCATCCTTCATTTTGAACTTGTCAAGTTGACTTTGAAGCACATCCAATTTGGATTCCTTGACGGACTTGGTACCTTTGTGCATATCAACGAAAGTATACCAAAATTCCTTTGTATTCTCAAGACGGCTGATTTTGTTGAATTCTTTGGGGCACAATACATTGAAGAGGATATCACAAGCTGGATCATTGTATTGCAACATCTTCATTTCTTCCGTTGTCGCTTCACGATCCGGTTCTTTTCCAGCCTCGAAGAAATCACCTTGCAAGCCAATACTCAAAACAACCCAAACGGCGGGGTTATGACCAAGAATATGCATTTTCATCTTATGCTTCCAACTAGCAAAATTCGTACCATCAAAGTAAGGACCTCTATGGTGATAATTTTCCTCGCTAGACGCCATACTCTCCTTG